GCAATTCTGAATCAATTCTGAATCATTTTTAGTTAGGGCTGAACGTTTAAGGGGAGCGTTTCATTATTTTGAAGCCGCTCTGGTGGTAGGGCATGATCGCAATAGGGAGCAAAAGATTAAAACCATTATTTTAAATAAAGCTAGCAGCTTTGGGCTGGCTCAAAACAGAATTGATCACTATTGCGGTAATGTGCAATTGCATTTTAAGCGTAACAGAGGTGGCCCGGTTGGGTAGATTAGGCAAATGAAAATTATTTGATAAACAGCATAAAAACAAGGGGTGATTTTAGTCAGGTGGAAGAATCACAGCACCTACTAACTTACCTAAACGTGATCCAGCACATCCAATGCTTTTGCCAAACATGTGCAGATCTACACAATGCCCGGATTTCTGTGTGTGTATATGTGTGTGTGTGTGTGTGTATGTGTGTGTCCCATCCCACCCAAAGAGTGCCAAAAGGTACCGCTACATCTTCTGTATCAATCTAGAGACAGATCGACGACTTCTGACCAGAGTAATTCACCAATGCAAAGTCCCTTCATGTCTGGGGAATAATTATCATAATAGACATTAGTAATTAGTTTTTGGTGTGATGTCAGCCAGTGCCGCAATGCCAACAAGCCACTGTCCTTGTCAAACACATCCCGCCTGTCTGGGCAGCTTCAGCTCCATCTCCCTGATTAAAATAAACACTGATGCACTGCTCACCAGCCAACTGCCAACATGCACCAAAAAGACTTGGACAATATTTGGATATCACATGGATGCACAGAGTGGCAACTGGGAGCCTCCAGTAGATCTCTTCTAATGCGATGGTGGTGGTGGAACTCTTTAGATGGAACCTGGAGACTCATCTAAAGTCTCAGGTACAAAACAAAGGTTGATGTTGGTGGAGAGAAGAATCAAATTTTACCAAGGAAGGTGCTTGAATGCTTAAGGAGGACACGATTAAGGAACCTGAATTGCATTTTTATTAAAAGGCCTAAGCTTTTGTAAGCTACAGCTCATTTTATCAGATGCAACTAAATAGATGGAGTGGAAATCCACAGGCATCTGACGAAGTGAGCTACAGCTCACAAAAGCTTAGGCCTTTTAATAAAAATCTTTCTGATTTCTGGCTGCCATACACTAAGAGAGCTCTCCTACAAGGCCTAATTACATTTGTAAGCTCCATCTCTAACCTACTCCAGTTGGACCAGATCATTTCTCCTTTGTAATCATCTAAAAACAGCAGGGTAAAGGGTTCACATCATACGCCTACAAGCAAAAACCTGCACATAAAAAGAATAACTCTATATCAATAATATGTATCAATATGCCACCCAGAGTCCATTAGAACTGAGGCAGTAGCTAAATCCCATAAAATAAAAAATAAATAGGAATTCTAACAAAAAAGAAATCTGAACTATTAGCACGAGGCCAGTCATGACAGAGACTTTTTTTAAAAAAATTAGTTTCAAAAATTGGCAAATTGTGATGCTACTCTTAAGACCTATTTTACTGCCAGCAGAAGTGAGGCTCAGAGATGGACAACTGGACCACAGATCAGAGGCATGCCCACCCCTGTCTATCAAGTGCTAGGAAAGGTCTACCTGAAACCCTGCCGTTGCCAATTTATACAGACAACCGTGATGAAGAGAAGCCAATGATCCAAAAGAGTCTGCCACTATTGTTAACCCTCCAGCAATCAGAAATCCGTACTGATGAATGGCAAATCACTCAAAGATTTGCCTTGGATGGATGGTTTTAACGTAGCTATTCATTTCAGAAACCTCAGGTTTGATGGGATGAGGAAAAAAAAGAAAAGAAAAGATACACAGACATTCCTGAACATACAACCTTTGGGGTGATAGATTCGCAAAGACAAACTGTTAGCGACATTACAGGCTTATTATGTGGCACCTCTTGATCATCCTCCCTGGAGATTCAGTGGGCCCTGACTCTGCTGGCATTTCAAAAAGCTTTAAAAACATGGAAATCTACCCGGGCACCCGGTTGGGAGGTTAACTAAACCCATGAGATTGATGGTAATTTCTCCATTGTCATTATGTGTTTTAATATTATTAGTTTGTATTGAGCTTTTAGCCCTATGTTAGCCACCCAGAGCTGCTCCTGCAAGACGGGCAGCCATGCAAATCATTTAAATAAATGCATAAATAAATAGTCTGAAATACCATTCCCCTGTCTAAATCCTTTGCAGCCCTTATCTCCTGCCTTGCCAATATGGTTGCAGTAGCAATGAGTATTTTGCAAACTTCTGAAGCCTTCACCTGAACAATTCCAATTCTGCAGCAAGAACAATGCATCGTACTTCAGCGAAACTTGTTGGACTTTTATTTTGTTTAAACTGATCTTGCATATCTTATTAGTCTGCCTTTTTTCCTGGCTTTATATGTCAATTAGCAGGTTATGGAAATAAACAAGCAAGCAAACATCCATATTGATCCAGTTACCTTCTGACTTTTAAAACGTCAACAAGCACTACCCATAAACTTTCAACAACCTATTTGCAGCTATAGGAACTGTGTTTAAAAGAAAGTTAAGATATGTAGGGACCTGAATCCTGCACCTAATAAAACTTACAGATTGGGAATCTGTCCATTTCAATTTATTCAGCTGCTTATTTTTCTGGCCTGCAAGCTTGTTCTGTTCCAGTTTGCAAATTCAGCATACTAATAAAATCCACATACTTTTTAATGCACCTTTAATGCATTATAGATATATTAGTGTACCTTCTTTCTAATACGTGCATTTTTATGTCATGTTTCCTAACATGCATGCATCTTATAATGGGTTTTTCTCTAATGTTGTGCATTAGTGTGTAAAAATATGCTTTAAGGGATAAATTTTGGAAAATACTACATGGAAGTTAGGAAAGCTCGTGCCAAATGAATTTCTCCATATTCCTCTTCTTCTTCATTATCACTGTTATTTTAATATATGTAAACTGCCCACAGTCCACAAGGATGGAGACAGAAAATTGGCATGAAAGAAAAAATAAATAACAATACAGCCTGCATTATTTTGAAGGTCCTACTGAAGCAGTGCATAGACCCAGCTCCAATTATTTATTCGTCCTGCTTAGGAAGCAGAGGTTGAGAAAAAGAAATGAGTTGCTTGAGGCTAAAGTAGAGATGAAATCTTTTCCAGATACAGTACAACACTCATTTGACAGGGGTAGCAATTGACATCAATTTGTAATGAGCGCTGTAGCTAACTAGGAACAGAAACCCCATGAGCCTTAGGACAAGCAGGCTGGAGAGATGTCAGGCTCCCCCCCGCCCCGCCACACTAGTAATAGAAACACAAGTGTACAACAAGGACACTACGTAA